CATGCTTGCCCAACTTGATGACCTTGCCTTCTATAAATGTGTCTCACTTCCAGTCACAGCCATCAGTTTTTATTACCAAGTAATTTGTTATAAATAACAGGAGTACACTTGACCTATGCTCCAAGTCAATAATGCCAAAATTATGATTACATCACATATAAACAACTACTTATTAGAACATTAGCACGTAATATGCATATAAGTACTACTCACCTTCATGGAAACATCTGATGTTTGAAGTTCATCCAGCTTTAATTGAAGTTTCACCTTTTCTGTGTTTGCTTCTGTAAGCTTTTCATTTAAACGTTTAACATCCTCTGGAGGAGGGAAATCAGTTTTAAAAAGCCTAATTGTATAACAGCTTTAATTACTCAGCTTAATTAAATTGTAAAGAATGAGAACAAGCAAGATAACAGTATACAGTTACATACATTGTAAGTAAGATACTGTATAGTGTAGGTTTTTTAATCTATAAAACGAAGCATCAAACTGCTGTGTTTTTCTGTAATTAGCATGTAATTTCATGCTTTGTTTTCTTTTCTCTGAATACTGCTTCCTGTTAATCCATTATCTGGTGCTGCCTATACAGACTGGATACTCAGTACCAGCTCAATTGTTCAAGCATGTCTTTTTTTTAACAAAATCATGTGAAGTACTTTGTTAGTATGTTCTTGGCTGTACCGTTTAAATGTTCAACTTCCTGAGATTGTCTTTCACTTGTTCGAACCAAATCTCTCTTTTCAGCTTCCAGTTCTTCTTTTTCTCTACTTAAATGGCTCTGAAAAAAATTGCAAAACAACAATAAAGAAACATGATCAGCTTTCTGTAACAGTTTATAGTCACTATTTACACTTATCATCACAGAGAAGCATGCTAAACCACAAGTTGCCCTAGCCAACTGAACACTGGAATTGAGAGGCTTTTATGGTGGGCAACTGAGTCAGTCTAAATTACACAGTATGAAAGCATGGCTGCTTCCATTTCTTATATCATGGTGGCATATATAATTCAAACAAATGCAGTTAATGTGCCTCTTCTAGTGGCTAATAGCAAACACATTTCAATTAATGTTTTTTTTTCCCCCCATGAACCACTCGATACTAATGTCCAGCTGGTCATTTGTGCTTAAGTGCAAAATGCCACTATCACATAAGATTAGACACCAAAGGTGAGAGAAGTATCACACAGCTTTCAAGACTAGAATACTGAACAGGTAGTGTTCATGCCTTTGCTTTTCAATTGGCAGAGAGGTCCAAACTGCCACAGGACTCCCTCTGGTTCCAGCTGTATTCATATGAAGATTAGCATGAAAATTGTTGGAGCAGATGAAACAAACTGAAGCCTTAACAGAAATCCAAAACAAGCAACAGGAAGTATTTAAAACTGCATCTTATTTTAATATTCTTTGAAAGACAGCTTTGATAGTTAAGACTTCACTGAAACAATTTGGTTAAATAAAAGTTAATATTTCGTTAAATAGTTTACAAGGAATGAACACATGCAACAAATCACTATAAAAATCAAATAAAAGTCAATAGTCTTGGATCATTTATAGGCTATAGTACTGCCTCTGCCTTCTAAGGTGTCAATACAAACCACGTTAGCCAGTGTCAGGTAAGCCCCTCTGGGGAAACATTCAGATCCATCTCTTCATTGTGGACAAATCAATCTAATAATAATGTTCTCATTTCCTGTTGCAAAATCAGTGTTCTGCTGAATAGATCTGTCAGCTGAAGTGACTCATTCTGCAACCCCATGACTTTTGAGTGTCACACAAGGAAAACTGTGCCAGAGTATGGGAAAATGTAAGGGAAAAAACACAACCCTTCACACCTTTGTTCGATTTTTGAGGTTTGGCTTAAAGTCACTTCACAACAGGTTTCAGTTAGAACAAAACTATCTATGAAGATGAAATAAAAGCATCTGCTCTGACATACGTTTATCTGTAATTCAGTTCGTTAAAACACCAGCATTTACTCAAAAAACCTATATTTTCCTGTACACACGGCCATATAAGTACGTACATCAATACATTATTTGTACCGCAATTGATACAGTCCAGTTTAGAAACAAATTGCATTCCTTGCTGCAAGGAGACAGATAAACCAAAGTCTTTCAACTTATCATCCAGCTTTTCCAGTACCTGAATAGCTGCATTACGATCATGAGCAGCTTCAAGTTCTTTATTTTTCTCATTCAGTGACTTCAACTGTTCATCTGTTGGATAAGAAGAAACAGTAGTTAAGGATCTCCACTGTAACAATAACAGAATTCACTCTCCAAATGCAATGAAGCCAAAATTCCCCTTAACAACATTAAAAAAAATAGAGAAAAAAGAATTCAAGATTTTACCATAGTACTAGGTAGTACTGTGACAAACTAATGCAATCCTTAGAGAAGAGGCCTTTATTGTCAAGATCAATACATAATCCACTGTACTACTATTACTACAAAAATCAGAGAGGATTTTTTTTTCTCCATAACAAAAATTCCATTAAAAAGAAGCCAACTTAAACAGAAAAGCCAAACAGGTCTCTTGCAGAAATAATATAGTTGATGGATGGATTTGCAACTCCTATATAAAACTTGAAACATTGCAGCATAACATTGGACTAAGGAATTAATATCCTGTCCAATCTTAAGAATGTGCAGTTATACTCACGAAGTTTTTTAAGCTCCTCACGGAGAGTCTGACATTCTTGTGTTTCATTAACAAGTCTCTCCTGACTTTGAGCCAGACGCTTTTCTACTTCAAAGTACTGTTGTTCTGCAAAATAACAATGTCATCTCAATTTCACTTAATAAACATTTATTTCTCTCTCTCACCTTTTCCAAGGATCCTTATTAATGGACATGTTTAATAAAGAACAGTATTTCTAAAGAAAGTAGCTAAAAATAGTAAGACTGCAGTAGAATTTGAAAAAAGGTATTTTTGAAGGCAAAAAAAAATCATTTCTGGATTGAATTAACATTGTTTAAAATACTTTGTTAGCATGGAAAGTGATATGCTTCCAGAAATGATCCATAAATAGCCTAATTGATTTTAATAGTATTTACATTTCTGATGTAGCTAGAGTACATTGTATCAGCACAATTATGCAGTAGAGTCTCAACAACTTAAAACTTCTTTTACCTGTACTCTATTTCTATGCAAAAACAATAAAATCCCCACAATCCTAGGTATCAAGGGATCTGATTATTTTTAATGAACACTTCTTATAATGAACTCTTAATGCTGTACATACCATTGCACTGAAAAAAAAAATCAGATCTAAATTTTGGTTATCTGAAACAGCAACTGTGACAGAGAGCTTAACTGTAAAATACTTAACAAAAGCTGAACTAACCTCACTCTCTGGCACAGTGAGCTTCTAAGGAAATACCAAAGGACTTTTATTTATCTTATGCTTCCTATCATACTCTACAACTTCAAATAATGCTGCTCCTCCAACCACATATGCCAAGAAATGACCTGCTAAAATCTGTGGGTTACCTTAGTTTACACTATATTAATTTACTTTAGCAAGATTTTTATCATGAAAGAGACAGGTGGAAGTTTATACCAGAAGTACATCACCCACCTGATAAATTTATTCATATTCACAACCCTGCCCAGTGCTTACACTCATTTACACTCTTGTCTCATTTCTAACCCCATTCTCTACTGGTATTATCTTTCTGCGATCAAGTAAGCTCCAAATCAATTAACAGTATCAAGAACATTTAACAGAAAGATAATGGTCTTCAACATGGAATTTAACAGAAAAAGTATAAACCTAAGGTTATTTGAGAGTTGGGTACACAAATCATTATTGCTTTTCCACAAGGATCAAAGCAGACTGAAGTTTGTTAAAAATCTGATGAAAAGCTGTTCTTTAAGCCGATTTTGAAAGCAGGTTTAGCCTCAAGTAGTCGTTTGTAAAAGAAAAAGATAAAACCAGACTCCTGTTGCCAAGCGAAACGAGAGAAAAGACCCTATCAGGCCTCAGCTAAAGGGACCCTTCCCAGCCAACAGACACGCCCTCGTCTCACGACCCTCACGGCCAGGCAGAGAAGGCACGTCCCCACCGCACAGGCCGCCCCCTGAAACCATTTCACAAGCAACAACGACCTATCAGGTCCAGCCCTGCCTCCCCCACTCCTCTCATCAGAGGGGACCACGACACTGCTACTCACTAAAAGCGCATCGGTGAAGGGAGGAGCAACTAGCCCGACCCCAGCCCACCCGTCCTCAGCCGAGCTGTCAGCTCGCTGCCTCGGCCCGAGCACCAGGACGAGCAGATACCGCTCAGTCCTTGGGCAGCTCAGCTCCTTCCTCGGTCACCACCCCGGGGCCTGCCCCGTTCCCGCTGCCCCCTCACCTCCATTCCCGTCCTCGCAGCTCCCCCCTCCCCACACTCACCGCTGTCCACCTTGAAGCGCTCATGCCTGGCTCGGAGCCCGTCGATCTCGCTCTGCTGATCAGCCAGGAAGCGCTCCAGCTTCCCCTGTACCGGCTTGGGCAACTTGGAGAGCTCAGCCCGCTCCAGCACCTGCTGCAACACAGCCGCCATCTTGGCAGCAGCAGCCGCTGCGCTTTCCGGCCTAAACGCCTACGGCCGCAACGCACCCGACGGCGCAGGCGCGGGAATGGCGCCGGTAGGCCGTGCCCCAACGGCATCATGGGAATCATGGTTTTCCAGGCGGAGGGCAGCGCGCCCGTGGGGATTTCCGCTTCCGGTGCGGCGGCTTTTTCCGCCATGTTGGGTGAGGCTAGATTGCTGTTTGGTGGGTGAAACCTCCTAAAATCGAGATAGGAGGCCCGAGGGCTCCGTCTTGAAGCCTGGCATGAGGCCGCTGGGCCTCCTAAAGTGTCCTGTGGGCCCGGAGGGTGAGGGGAAGGTGTCACACCTTCTGCCGCTCAAAGCATGGCGGCGCCGGCGCTGCGCCTTCGGTCCGCGACCCCTTTTCCCGCGCTCGGGTCTGGGTTAGTGCGCGTCGTCTCGCTGCGCCGGGCGCGGGAGGCGCCAGACGGTGACGCGGCTATTGGCCGTTGTAGGGCTCGGCCGAGGCGGCGGCGCTGAGGTGGCGGTGGCCGCGCCCGTCAGACCAGTACGGGGAGCGCTGGGGGCGG